ATATATATATTGAGAGAGAGACACAGAAAGAGAGAAAGAGAGAGAGAGAAAAAAAAAAATTGAAATAAAAATACATAGATAGATACATAGATAGAGAGAATCAAGTTGATAGGCAGATATAGATATGTCGTGATCGAATTTGTGAACCAGGAAGAGAGACAAACTTCCATTTCATTACACGCAGAAAGCATGTAGAAAAGGAGGCTCGTGCGAAACAGCGCGGCATAAAACAGGGGAACTTTCAGGGAAGGAAACACCTGCGCAGGGAACGTCATCTAGCTTGGCAGCTGCATAGTCAACTTGTCTGCAATTAATTCTGAGCAATGTTTTGACGTCTAGGATGAATGCACATGCGTCGGCGCAGGTGCGGACGCGCACCTGAGGGAGCCCGCCATCAGGAATGCCAGATGACCGAAATTCGTCTGCTGTTCGGAAAACCGCCAGATTCGTTTCGTCGGCGGTGTAACTGACGTCACGTCTGTGGTTATTTGCGGAAATTTATAACTTGGACTCTGTGGGGGGGGGGGGATAAAAGGGCAATAGGAGGAGGAAAGATATATTAAAGGCATTAGATTTCCTATAGCCTACTCATACAAAAATGTCCCTCAGAATCTTGTGCGAATAGGCTGTTTCGAATTCGCACAACACCAGTTCGAACCCTTGTTGACAAAACTTTCATCACATTCCTAATGGTTTTTGCTGTTTAAATCTAAAGCAAAAATTGACACACTTTTTATTTACCTTATCTAGAGAGAGAGAGAGAGAGAGAGAGAGAGAGAGAGAGTGAGAGAGAGTGAGAGAGAGAGAAAAAAAAATGAGAGTGATAGCGAGAGAGCTAGAGAGAGAGAGAGAAGAGAGAGAGAGAGAGAGAGAGAGAGATAGCGAGAGAGAGAGAGAGAGAGACTTCAATGTTAATTATGAAAATCCCATAGTAAATGAAACCATTAAACAGTCTAAAAAATAAATTACGAAAATCCATTCGGGAAAGGTTCATATCATGATCTGAAATTCTATCTTTTCGCCTTATTTCTTTTAATATTGATTTACTACAAACAGAAATACCACATGGTTATCATATCATATCCTGACATGAATCAATCGTTTATTTAAACTCAAATGCAACGAAGGTGACGCCGCAGGCATTCGACATCCGAAGCTCCATGGCGTCCGAACCTTCGCGAAGCCAAAGTCGCACAGTGGCCGAAGCCGCTTGGCGGTTGAGTTGCATGGCCCAACCTTGCATCTTGTCCAAAGGGATATATATATATATATATATATATATATATATATATATATATATATATATATATGTACATATATGTATATATATATATTGATATAAATAAATAGAGATAGCAATAGAAATAATAATGATAATGATAACAATACTATGATAATCCTAGTGATAATGGAAATAATAGTAATTATAACAATAATATTGAGAGGTAGTGATGGATGAGAAACAACTGAGAGAGAAAGGGGTGGGGCGAAAGAGAGAGGAATGGATAGATAGATAGATAGATAGAGAGAGACGGATAGATAGAGAGGTAGATAGAGATAGAGAGAGAGGCTTGTCCCTAGAACCTTCTAGTATCATATCCTATCGAGATATTACACACATTAATTTTACATCTACCTCTGCAGAGAGAGAGAGAGAGATAAAGAGAAAAAGAAAGAGACAGAGAGAGAGAGAGTATATAGAGCATATAGACAGACAGTGTGAAAAACTTTGGTCAATGATATAAACTTTGTAATATTAGCTGTCAGCCTACAAAGTTGGTTTGCAAACTTTATTTACAATCGTCAGCAAATGGTATTATTAACTCTTGTAATTGAACTGTTATCAGTTTTAGTATTAGTATCTATTTTGGTATCATAACTATTATTATTATTATTATTAACAAATGTCACTAATACTGTGAAATTAGTAATATTAACTGTCTGCCAACAAATTTGGTTTACGAATTTATCGTCACCGAGTGATTTCTTTTCGATTCACCTGTACCTTTTTCATTCTATTTTTCCTCTCACATTCCCGCATTACTCAGACATATCCTTCATTCTTTGTTTGCTCCATTTGCCATATTTTCTCTTCCCTCCCTTTCCTCCTTTGCTTCGTCGCACCAGTGCCCCCTCGTGGCACCAGTGCCCCCTCGTGGCACTCACAGAGAAAGTATGCGTTGGCTTTTGGCTTCGAAGACGCCATGGCTTCCTCTGGTGAAAACAACAATAAGTGGCGTCTCGGAAGAAAGACCTTCATATTGCAAATAATTGTAATATAATAATCAGAAGACGTAATGAAAAATGAATAGAAAGAGAAGCTAAACGATTGTATGATCATAGTGATAATAGTGATTATGATATAACAATAATGAGAGTAATAATGATGACAACAGTAATAACAAAAAAATGTAATAGCAATAATCATGATAATAATAATGACAAAAAACAAAACAAAACAATACTAATAATTAGAGAATCAAGAAATAGAAAAATTGCCAGATGATGCCGGTGGCACAGAAGGACTGGAACTATTCGGGATAAATTGCATGTATTCGCTTCTAAGGAATACCTAATGCTATGTCTATACATTTACTCAAAGGATTACGATACCCATGGCATTATCCTTTGTATAATCTGCAATTCATATAATATTTCAAGGTCAAATGGTAACCGTCATCTCTGATTGGTATGCTCCTCACCTCCCCCCCCCCTCTATCTCTCTCTCTCTCCATATGCTAAGAAGCAATAAACATCAAAAAGATAAATAGTAATAGCAACAAAAAATATGCTTATCAAAGTGAAATATGTTTAATGAGTCACATTTTTTTGTAGATATTTAGCTTCTCTATTATGAGCAAATACCAATTTAACATGGATTATGCTTACAAAAAGACAATCTTATGTCTATGCAGTAAGAAATACGTATGCTCTTTTTAACGATCGTACATGGTTTGCATAATGAAAACCACATTAGCTAAGCTGCAGACACGTAGTTTACCTTTACCTTTAGGCGATTTATACCTAATTGAAGTCGTTTCAGATTTTCCCGTCGTTGGCATTGTGGCCATTAACGTTGCCTGTATTGAATAACGAGAATAGTTATCTTGTTATTTCACATCATTATTTAACAATACTCATTATAATTCTTGTTTTCATTGTTATATTGCTGTCGTTATTTTCAAGTTCATGTCATGATCATTATGTATTTCAAAAATACTTCTAAGCAATAGATTTAGCTAACCAATCTACTTTTATCTATACAAATTTGATATTCACGGATGCAGTAGCAAGGTATTAATAAATTCCTCAAATACAAACGTCAGGCTTCTAATATTTGGTCATGATTTGTTTGTAAAGCATCTCACAATTTCTAAGAAGGGATACCCGATAATGAATTATTTTCTGCAGTTCTCTTGTCCATTTGATTCGGTACACTACGTGATATTTATATGCATTGTAAAAGAGATTACGTCTTCAATATACTGGGGTCCGTTTTTCTCTCTCTCGACTGAGCATTGACATTAACTAAATAAAATATCCCGGAGAAATTGGTTAATAGCAAAGGATTTTGTTAACATCCTTCCGTATAAGATAATCAGACGTACTTAGAACCTATTTCCTTTTTCTGAGCTTATTACTGATTGTACGTTTTGTACTTATGTTGCTATTATGTCTTTAATTGTCATTGCGGTTATAATTACTGTTGCTGTTTTTATTATCATTACCAATATCATTAATAGGGGCTGAAACAAAAGAATTAATATTTCCTTCTCATAGTTGAGTGTCTTTTGCATAATTTAGATGTAGTTTACCTCCAGCTGAGGGCATTGTTTCCGGTTACGCCATGCTATGCAAGTTATGAACATGCGCTGAAAGATATCTCAGAATGATTAATGATGAATGACCCTTATTCAGCCACTTGATTGGGACTTATAGGAACTGGCTTCGAGAACGCATACGACCCTACATCAAAAGGAAGTAATTTTCTCACCCTGACGAAACATTTGAACACATTGCCTTGGATATTTATCTTATCACGAGAACACAGCTGAACTTCCCTAAATGTGGGACCAATATTGAAGAGGCTGCCACTAAATGGTTACAAAGAGAAGGTAGCGAGATGAAAAGTGCCATGTGTATAAAGAAATTGAAGGCGTGCATTTTACATATTGACTTTTGTATATTAGAAATCAGCACATTGTTGTCCAACTTGACTCATCTAATGGATGGTTGCCGAGGAATAGGCATGAGATGAACGAATGCAGTAAGATAGACTGATGAGAGTATGAAATCAGTGATGAATAGTGTAATCGGGGGATTTATTTAAAGCGTAAATGGGGTGAATGAACGTAATCAAATAACGATAGATATGTCATTAAGAGAAATGTATTATTTGCGATCGGGGATGTATTAATAACTTATTACTGATGACTACTCTAACCACAAATTTCAACAAATAAATGTAGAATTGCAAATAAGAGTGGTAACACCTGTAGATAAACTATATGGCTCACAAGTAATTTCGAAACACATTTTTAAATGGTATTGTCGATTTGGAAGTCTGTGGAGAGTACTGATAAAAACGATAATAGTAACAGCAGTGGGCATGCCGACAAAATAAGTAAAAAAAATAATAAATAAATAAAAAAACTAATATTTTCCCCCCTAGGATTTCTCTTTTTTAATACTTAGTTGAGATAAAAGGAAGCTAGGTAGATTTTTTTTCTTTTAACTGAATGTTGGGAAAGTAGTTATTTGAAGGAGCCAAGAAAAGAGGTATTTAAAAGAGGTTGGTAACTTCATTTGATTCTTCTACGACTAGATATATTTCAGTGGAATTGTAGGCACACACACACACACACACACACACACACACACACACACACACACACACACACACACACACACACACACACACACATACGTACGCAACATAATATACATGTGTAATATAAGAATTTTCGTAAAACCTGACTAAATAAAATTTTATCATATATGTTTCTATGGTGTAGTGGTTAGCACGGTCGCCTCCGACGCGACAGACTCGGGTTCAAATCCCGAAGGATACTATCTCTGTTACATTTTTTTTCATATTTGTATTTCTATCTATTTACCAACCTTCCATGTATATTTCTACTTTTGTTTCTGTCACTTTCTTCGGTTTACAATGCGAAAGAGTATGAGGAAATTAAGTTTGATTTTGTTTTTTTTTTGCTCGGATGTTTGTTACTTTTATGCGCGTTTCCAAGTTTGCTTTCTGAACTAAGAGCAAGCTGCAACAATTATTTTTTGAAAAGTTTCTATAAATACCTTATACCTAAATATAAAGTAATGTGAGCCGTAGCAAATCTTATATATGATGATAATAGCTCTTTTGTATAGAAGCAATAAAAGCTGTTTCTTGTTTATATGATCATAAATATGCAGATGCAAAGCAAGGAAATAAAAAATCACAGTAAACCAAAAGTCTTTCCACGAGCTTCCAGAAGCAATGAAAGATATGACAAAAGAAAGAAAGAAAATCACACTTGACTCTGGACTTTGGTTGCCACGTGGAAGGTACAAAAGCAGTTTCCAGCATTAACAAAAATTAAAGGCCTTTTCTTTGAGACTAAAAGTGTCAACCTCAGGTCATCCTTTTGTCAATATTACTATCATCCTCGATAATAATGTTGCTGACATTACTGATATTATTACTTCTTATTATGATCATTATTGTTATCATCATCATTATTATTTTCATTGTCATTTATTGCTACTATTATTATCTGTCTTTTCTTGCTCTGTGAGGACCAATACAAGTCATGCTGTCAGTGAATGTTTGAAATGTTTGAAATTTTTTGAGTTTATTTATTCAATAAGCTTTGGTTTCAATCCTTTTAATCATTAATTGCCGTTGGTTTACTTAGTCAGGTTTGCTGGTACTTCCGATGCACAGGAACCTGTTTATATTGTCACAGAAAATGGGTTTAATCTAAAGAAAACGTGGAAGCCCTGTGTTGAGGGAAACGCTCAATGGGGTTAGTTTCCGTGTTTGAGACCTCAATTTANCAGAAACATATAACATCTTCTTATTTACTCTATGTATATTTAGCTTTCACGAGAATACTTGTATTACACTTGAATATGAAATGTTACATGCGTGTCGTGTGTGTCTGTGTGCGTGCGCGCGCTTTCACCAAGAAAATGTCATATTAAACCTTATTGCATGCCTACAATTGCACTGAATGTGTTCAGTCTTAAGAAATTAAAATGATGCTACCAACCATGAAATTTTGTTTGTATGTCTTATCTATTTATCTTCCGTTCCATTTTATACTTACTTTTGTTTCTGCCTCTTTCTCGGTGTTTGCAATAAAAACGAGTATGAAGAAATTGGGTGTGATTTGGATTTTTTATTTGCTTGGTTGTTTGTTAGTGTTTATGCGTTTTCACAAGTTTGTTGTCATATTTTAATATGAAAGCAAAGACTGGGAGGAGGAAGAAGAGGACGAACTAGTGATGAAGAAAAGAAAAAAGATCAAGACGGGTAGGAAAGGTGGAAGGAAGGAAAGAGGCAAAGAAACAATTTCTGTTTTATTATCTTGCTTAGTGTTATCTTCGTTCCACTTTGCCTTCTTTAGATAAGAAATGCGAATTCACAGGAGAGAAGAATGATCTCTTTTTATACAGTAGCTAATTATTACCAATATGCACTTTCGTAAAGATACTTACGTGGTTTGCTTAATGAAAACCACGTTAGCCAAGATGCAGACACGTAGTTTACCTTTACCTTTAGGCGATTTATACCTCACTGAAGTTCTTTCAAATTTCCCGTCATTGGTAGTTGTAATTAACAATTCCTGTATTTATGAAAGATTAGTTATTTATCATTAGTTCCATCATTATGCAACAATACTCATTATAATTCTTGTCTTCATTGCGTTCTCAATCGTACTGCTGTCATTATTTTTATATCAATGTGTCCATTATGTATTTCAAAAGGACCTGTAAACAATAGTTTTAGTTTACGAGTCTACTTTTATCTATACAAACTTGATGTTCAGTCTTCAGTAACAAGTTATTAATATATCCCTTAAGCACATATCAGCACATAGTTGTCCAACACTCATCTAATGGATGGTTTTCGAGGAATAGGCATGAGATAAACGAATGCAGTTGTATAGACTCGTTAGAATATGAAATCAGTGAGATGAATAGTGTAATAGATAATAATATTTGAAATATATATGGGGTGAACGAATGCAATTATATAATTTTCATAGATATGTAATGGAGAATTATTATTTGTGATCGAGGAATTTATTAACAACTTATTACTGCTGACTCCTTTACCCACACATTTCGACAAATAAAAGTAGAAATGCAAACAAGAAAATGTAAATAAACTATATGGTTCATTGGTAATTCCGAAATAGGTATCCTAATGGTAATGTCGATAGAGATCTGTGAAAAGTATTGATAATAACGATAATAGTAACAACAGTGGGCATGCCAACAAAGTAAGTACAAATGAAGAAAGAATAAAAAGCTAGTTCTTTATTTTTTCAGGATTTCTCTTTATCTTAATGCTTCTTTGAAATACGAATGAAGATGAGTAGATTTCTTCTTTTTACTGGATATTTTGAGAAAAAAGGTTTTTGGAGTCACGAAAAGAGGCATTTAAAAAGGTTGGTAACTTCTTTTGATTCTTCTACAATTGGATTTATTTAATTGCAATGGTAGGCATCTAATAAGGTTTAATATGACATTTTACTCTTTTTGTGAAAGTACACACACACACACACACACACACACACACACACACACACACACACACACACACACACACACACATACATGTATGTAACATAACATATATAAGTTTAATATAAGAGTTCTCGTGAAAGCTACAAAATAATTCTTGTAAAATCAACATATATCATACATGTGTCTGTTGTTAGTGGTTAACACGGTCGCCTCCTACGCGACAGACTCGGGTTCGATACAGATAAAATACCTTTTGTATGAATTTTTGTTTGCATCTCTATCAATTTACCTAGTTCCATTTAAATTTCTACTCTTGTTTCTGTCTCTCTCTGCGGTTTTTCAGTGCGAAAGAGTATAAAGGAAGAGTTTGAGTTTTTTTTTTTTTTTTTTTTTTTTTTGGGGGGGGGGGTTGTCTGTTAGTGTTTCTGCGCGTATTCACGACTTTGCTGTCATACTGGTAATAAGAGAGCAAAGACTGAGAGGAGGAAGAAGAGGACGAACAAGTGATGAAGACAAAGGAATAAAAACGAAGATGGAGTAGGAAAGGTGGAAGGAAGGAAAGAGGCAAAAGAAGCAAAATTTGTTTTATTCTGCTTAGTGTTATCCACTTTGCTTAGAGAGAGAGAAGAATGATCTTTTTACCGTAGCTAATAATTATTTATATATTTTGAAAGGTTTAGTTACTGTAGTTCACAGTGTCATGAAATATAGTGCTATTTTGGTCCGCAATTGCATACAAATACAAAGTAGACAAACCAGACAGTACAGCTACCAAGGTGTGAAATACTACTACTGTTGCACTGACAGCTGGATCCTGTGCTAAGCATATATCTTCTGTTTTGTGTCGTATGAGATAATTCGTTACATTTCATCTTATATTCGGTTTGTACCGTGTGAGATGAACTGTTGTAATTCACCTTATAAGGTTTCTTGTCCCATTTCATTTTCATTTTTTTATCTCTTCAATGAAACTTTTTTGTATCAGTGATAATTTTTTACATTGATACTATTTGATATATAATTCATTCGGAGATTCTTAAAACGAGTATTCTTTTAAACATATACATTACTGAGAAAGCATGTAATTTCATGGCGACTTACAGAAGTTGTATATTGATTTAAATATGTTTTTGAAAACATACTGCGGTTGGGTATAAACTGTTACTTCAATAGAAAATTATAAGAAATTTATGATAAAACAAGATTTCATCGAACAGGAATTCGAATGTACACCAATGATTATGAAATTAATGTTTATCGTTGACATGGAATGTTATCTGAAACTACTTTAAGACGATCGTTGTATTAAATCTACAAAAGCTTCAAAGATTAAAGCTGATTTCCACTGATGTTCAGAAATAAGAATCTGTACTACTACTCGACATTTTTTGGATAGGCACTAGAGAGAGAGAGAGAGAGAGAGAGAGAGAGAGAGAGAGAGAGAGAGAGAGAGAGAGAGAGAGAGAGAGAGAGAGAGAGAGAGAGAGAGAGGAAGAGACGCCAAATAGACAGACGAGGCGAGAAACTTTGGTCATTGATATGAAATTAGTAATATAAACTGTCAGAATAAAGCTGGTTTACAAACTTTATTTACAATAGTCACCAAATGATTTCTTTTCGATCCACCCATATCTCTCTTATTCTATTTTTTTTCTCTGTCTTTCCTGCATTGCCCTTGTTATTATATTTATAATATCCTCCCATTCTTCAGAATGAATGGAATAGATCTAGAGAGAGATATATGGAAAAAAAATCAGATTTACTATTATAATTAACATTTTTAGTACTGTCATTATCGTTTTAATCATAGTCGTTATAAGTTATACTGTCATCTCTTTTATAATATGTATACACTATCCCACCATGATGGCAATAACGTTATTACTGTTTTTCTAAATATCATCATTATCATCGCATCACCATCACCTTCATCATCGTTATAATTATCAATATCGATAATAATATATTAATTTTATCATATTATATCATTATCATGACTGTTGTGATTATAATTATCATTATAATTTATGTTATTACCTCTTGTAGTTGTACTCTTTTCAGTTTTAGCATTAGTACCTATTTTGTTGTCATAACTATGATTAATATTATTGATATTACTGTTATAACTTTAATTTATTATTATTATTTTTATTTTCATCATTATCATTGCTGTTTATTATCATGGTAACAGCTGAACATCCCTTAATATTGGACAAATATTGAAATGGCTACTAAACTGTTGCAAAAAGTAGCGAGTTGGGAGAAATATGTTATGGAAAAATGGAAGAAACGGGACTGCATTTTACATATTCATTAGAAA